GAGGGACGTGCCGCAGCCGGGGCTTCAGGCCGGCCTCGCAGTGGAGGGACGTGCCGCAGCTGGGGGCTTCAGCCGGGGCTTCAGGCCGGCCTCGCAGTGGAGGGACGTGCCGCAGCTGGGGGCTTCAGGCCGGCCTCGCAGTGGAGGGTCGTGCCGCAGCCGGGGCTTCAGGCCGGCCTCGCGGCGGAGGGTCGTGCCGCAGCCGGGGGCTTCAGGCCGGCCTTGCAGTGGAGGGTCGTGCCGCAGCCGGGGGCTTCAAGCCAGCCGTTGCCTCTTTAGGCACACGCTCCCTGCAGACGTCCACACTGCTGGGCCGTCGCCTGAGGGACAGGCCCTGCTCCTGGCTTCCCCTGGAAAACAGCCACCACTCCCAGTCCCGTTCCTTGCATTCTTGGTCTCTGCAGCACCCGACACGTCGCGTGTGCACGCATCATGTGTGCACACATTGGACAGGCTCCCGTCACACGTGCATGTGCTTCTCTGCCCGCCGTCCTGCAGATGAGCGGCTGTCCCTGTGCGTGCACCCACAGTGTTGAATGGACGCTGCAGGTTCCTGCACAGCACCTCCGGTCAGTGGCCCCTGGTGCAGACTTGGAGACCCGAGGCGCCGTGTGTGCCCAGCCGGGTTTGCTGCACCCCTCCAGGGTCACCGCAGGAAGCTGTGGGGTTGCAGGTGGAAGGTGGGCCGCCTCTGCTCAGATGCGCTGGGGGAGCCGCAACCTCGCCTCCCTGTGGCCCCCTCCCGTCCGATTCCCCACTTGGTTCCCTGTTCTCAGGGCCAGGACCCCAGCAATGACAGTGCCCCCTGTTCTCTAGGATTCCCGGGCGGCTGAATGACAGGAGGACCCCTCTGGGAGAACTGAACTGGATTTTCACAGCCATCACGGACACCATCGCCTGGAATGTGCTTCCCCGAGGTGAGGCTGCCCGCTGCCCGCTGCCCGCTGGGGGTGGGGTTCTTCGACCTGGAGAGCGCAGGGCCCTGGAACACAAGGGGCAGGCGGGTCACCGTGTTCCTGGCTGGTGGGCAGGGACAGTGCACGGGGGAGGCGAGGACCTGGGGGATCTCAGGTGCACGGGTGGCTCTCGCCGTGAGCTCTGGCCACGCCGGCCCTGGTCGGACTCTGCTTGGCGGCCGCAGGAGGCGTCTCCTCCCGGCCGTTGGCGCTGCCTTTGTTTGTTCACATCAGAGTTGCTGTTAGGAGACTCGTTTCAACTTCCTGCTGATTGGTTGGTTTTGGTGTTTGTTCATGTGTGTACATGCGCATGCATGTGGGGGGCACGCGTGTCTGTATTGCCATGGGAAATGTGCGTGTTGGGCTTCACTCGTGTTCTGTCATGTTTGCTGGAAGTCAGTGTGTACCTGGAGTTGAATGCCAGACACTGAAGACCCCTCTCACTGCCCTCTTCCAGATCTCTTCCAGAAACTGTTCCGGCAGGACCTGCTGGTGGCAAGTCTGTTCCGGAATTTTCTGTTGGCAGAAAGGATCATGAGGTCGTATAACTGCACCCCGGTCAGCAGCCCCCGGCTCCCCCCGACGTACATGCACGCCATGTGGTAAGTGTCTCGGCCAGGCAGTGCGGGCTGGCGGTCCAGCGCCGACGGCCTGCTGGTCCCCGGCTCCTGGCAGTCCCCCTTAATGGAGTCACGGGAAGCAAAGAAGGGAGAGTGCACGCAAACCGGAGACCTCGGCGAGTGTTGACACGTAACCTGAGGGAGAGGCCCAGAGAGCCCTGCGGAGGGGGTGTCTGCAGCCTTGGGGACGCGTGGAGGCCAGTGTCCCCCGGCCTCAAGGAGGGCGCCTCGTGCAGCGCTCCAGGGGCTGCCAGCTGCACTGTGAGGGGCGTCCGTGACCCATTGGTTTGCTTGCTTGGTTTTCTCTCTCTCTCTCTCTCTCTCTCACACACACACACACACACACCCTGGTCTCTGTGGCTGCTGTCCGTAACCACGGAGTGGCTGCTGCCTGCGCCCCTGGTATAGTGGGAACAGGAGTAGTGACGTAGCGTGCTTTCGTCCAGACGCTGTCTCCGAAGATGCCTGGCTTCCTCTCGTTCCATTGCTGTCTGAACTCAGGCAGGGTTTGGGAAGTTCTAAGAGTGGGTCAAACTCACCGTGCATCAGCACTCAAGAAACCTCAGGAGCTGGGTGTTGTCATTCAGGTGAGGCACAGCCAGGAGCGCCACGCCCAGCACGGCCCCTGGATTACGGCAGAGGCTAAAACACGCCTGATCGGGTGCCTTCTGAGTCTGTAGACTCTGTAGACTCTGGGGCTAACTCGGAATTCTGCAAGCTGGATGAGTGCAGTGTGGACGTCAGGGCCGGCGTGTAGACTCTGGGGCTATCTCGGAACTCTGCAAGCCAGATGAGTGCGGTGTGGACGTCAGGGCCGGCGTGTAGACTCTGGGGCTATCTCGGAACTCTGCAAGCCAGATGAGTGCGGTGTGGACGTCAGGGCCGGCGTGTAGACTCTGGGGCTATCTTGGAACTCTGCAAGTCGGATGAGTGCGGTTTGGACATCAGGGCCGGCGTGTAGACTCTGGGGCTATCTCGGAACTCTGCAAGCCGGATGAGTGCGGTTTGGACGTCAGGGCCGGCGTGGAGGCCTGACGAAAGCACCCACAGGCCTCCCGCCGCTGCTCTTGGTGCCTTTCCGTGCTCACCGCATCCCACAGACTTCGCCCCGGAACCTTGGATGGCAGGTGCTCCTCCTTGTTGGTGGCTGGGCCAGAGGAGGGTGAGTTAGCACAGCCGTCCACAGAGGCACAGAGCCCCTGGAGGGAGCCTCCTGGGGTGTCCAGGCACCTGGAGTTGCACACGACCCCTTTCCTGCGCCAGGGTCTCCTCCGTGCTGATGCGCGCCTTGAAGGCCCACGTGGCACGGAGCGGTTCAGCCTCATGGCCCTGCTGCACGCACACTCTGCCCTCACAGCCGGCCTCTCCCCTGTTGCGCAAACCCTGCAGGGATCGGCAGAAAGGGCTGCCTGAGGCGGCTGTGCAGCGGCAGGTGTGTCCTGAGCTGCGTGGGGAGGCTGGCCCGGAGAGAAGCAGGGCAGCCAGGAGGAGGCAGGGAGCAAAGTCCAGCTCTGAGGCCTTCCCGCAGGCCAGGCCCTTGCCCTCATCAGTGGTCACCAGCTGCAGCCCCTCTGCCGCTGCTGCCAGGTCCCTGCGTGGACTCCCAGCCTCCCACACGCTTCTCCACGGGCTCTGGTGGACGGTAGGGTGCACCGGCAGGATTGCCTCCCAGCTCCTGTCCGGCTTGTCTGCAGGAAACAGTTCAATTCCTTTCCTCATCCGAGCAGTGGCTCTTTCCGGTCATTTTGCCGAGACCTGTGGCAGTAACCGCAGCTCACTAGGCTGGCCCAGAACATGGCTGTCAGCAGCACCCTAGCCGCCAGGGAGCAGAATCCCAGTCCCACTGGCCGCCAGCGCGTCAGATCCCCCTGTGGAGTGAGAGTCCACACGGAGCCGTGACAGGTCCCCCAGCCCCCACCAAGGTGGAGATGCCTGCCCGAGGGGGAGCGTGATGGACGTTTCAGGTGACAGAGCCTAAAGCAGGTCTGGCGAGACCAGCACCACGCCGTCACCGCAGGTGGCCCGGGCACGGCTGTGGACGCCGCCACCAACAGGAGCCGCCCTCCCTGGGCACCTCGCTTGCCGTCCTGTGGCCAGAGCAACGCTGTGGGCCTTGGCTTTGTTTTCCGTTTTCTTCTTAAACCCGACAGCAAACCTGAGCGCTGCGCTCTTTCCGTCCGCTGAGGGGGAACAAGCCGCTCCGTCCCCGCCCCACAGAGTGCAGTAGGCGGGGTGTGTAACTCACACGCGAGGACTTGGGAAGGAGCGGAGAGTTTGAAGGCCCAGGGGAGCAAATGTGCTGAGAGGGAAAAAATCTAATTCACAAATTACAGGAGAAATTGTAGCCTTGTTCTGTCGGGCAGATTGCTCCATTTAGTGACAAGAAAGCTCTCCAACCTCGGAGTGGAGAGACGAGGAGGGGGTGGCTTTCCAGTGCGGTCTGCAGGCGCCGGCTGGATCGGCACACAGCTGCGCTGCCACCCTGGCTATGGGCACAGCTCACCGCGCCCCCTGCAGGGTCCTGCCAGACGCCCCCGGCCCTCACCACGTGGGCCCAGCCTCGGAGACAGCAGGAGGTAGTGGCTCTGTCTGCCCGATGCTCTCACGGCCTCCCAGTCCCAGAAGCTTCTCAGGGCCCCCGGGGAGGGGACCGCACCGGGAAGCCGGCCCTGGTGGAGCCTGTACCACGAGAGCCCCCGCAGGGCCCAGGCGTCTGTCAGCGGTGCTGCCAGTGGGGCTTTTGGGGGCATCAGCCAGCTGGTCAGTTCAGGACTGGCGGGTGGGGGAGGTGGCCTGGGAAGAGTGGCCTGCCCAGGTTTTCACCAAGGCAGGCGGCTGGCTGTCAGGGACCGAGACGCTGATAACGCAGCCCTAATCCCCGTGGCTGACTGGCCTCCTGGTGCCTGGCTTGTTCGGAAGCTTTGCATGTGTCACACAACACCCAGGTGACACGACACAGCACCTGAGGGGTGCCGAGTCGGGCCGACCCCAGTGCCCGCCAGCAGGGCACCACCCGTGCACGAGGTGCGTGCTGGCTCACGTCTGTCAGCAGTGTGACCGGTGCCTCGGTTCCTGTACACGGAACACGGAGCAAGGTGGTGGTGGTGTTTATGCCAAGATGGAGTGGTCGTTCTGCATTTCAAAAATTGGTCAATGTTACTCTTGTAATTTAAGACCTACCTATTGATTTTCTAAGCCTCTGAAAACTCTCATGGATAAGGCATTATTGGTCGTATATACAAAACTGGGGCCAACAGAAGAAATAATTGGGTACTTCTTGACATGAAAAAAGCGTAACTAGAATTCCCTAAGGTTCAATGCTTGGTCTTGATCTCATTTGATGTTTTTAACTGATGCAGAAAGAGCTCATTAAAGTCTCAAGTGGGAGGAACCTGCATACCTTAGGTTTAGGCTGTGTTTGATGCCATCTTGCAAAAGGGCTTACACAAGTCTCTGCACCCTCACCAGGTGCAGGCGCCGGGCTGGGCGGGGGCTGGGGCTGGGACTGGGGCTGGGGCTGGGGCTGGGGCTGGGGCCGGGCTGGGCAGGGCAGGGCAGGGCTGGGCTGGGGCTGGGGCTGGGGCTGGGCTGGGCAGGGCAGGGCAGGGCAGGGCAGGGCAGGGGCATGGGCTGGGGCTGGGCTGGGCTGGGCTGGGCAGGGCAGGGCAGGGCCAGGCTGGGCCAGGCAGGGCAGGGCTGGGCAGGGCAGGGCAGGGCTGGGCAGGGCAGGGCAGGCTCGGGGAGAGCAGAGGCCCTCCTAGAAAGGCGTGGTGCCTCGGTGCTTAGCAGCTCTCGGGGGCCAGCACACAGCTCCCCAGACTCTCCCCTCCCTGGGAGCTCGGGGCCCGTGTTGCTCCCCTGAGCTCCCCTCCAGGTCTTGTCCTCTGGGGAGCCCACGTCGCTAGGCGCTGTGAGTGACAGCCGAGTGTCAGCAGGAGAACTCTGAGCACTTCGGTTGGCAGCGGTGGGAGCGCAGCAGCACTGCTCACTCCCACGAGGCGTCCCAGGCCCCCCCCCGCCCCGGGCACCTCCTGCAGCCCGGAGCCGGCCTTCATCAGGCCTCTGTCCTGACGGACGTGCTCAGTCCCGGGCTGAGACGCTCGCTGCAGGGTCTGTGCCTTCCCTTCCTCTCCCTGCGACGCTGGAAGCTGCGGGGAGCGCGTGCCTGCGGTGTGGGAGTGCCCATCTGAAGCCGTGCTCCTCACTCTCTCGAGAGTGGCGATCGGAGAAGGGGCACTCCGCCGGCTGTCCCCGCAGGGTTCAGGGAGACAGGCCCCCAGGGACGAGCCTCCTGGGCTTCCCCAGATGAGGGTGAGGACGGCAGAATGTGGAGAGAGCACTGGGCTGGGGGCTGCCGAGGAGCTACGGGGGTCGGGGACAGGAGGGGGTTGTGCCTGCAGCAGGGGAAGCACCGAGAGGCGCCCAGGCTGTGCCAGCCCCCGGCAGGAGCCGTGGACTGGGAGTGCAGAACGGGGAAGCAGCAGCCCGGGCAGGAAGCCAGGGAGGGAGTGGTTGGGGCCTAAGTGGGCGATGAGGAGCCCCAGGCCCAGGCAGGGGCTGCGAGGGACTGGAGGTGTAAGTGTGCAGCAGGTGGAGGAGGCTGGAGGTGAGGCCTGCCCCAGGTGTCTGCCGGGACTGTGCGTACACGGCACTGCCAGTAACCGCAGCTGGGAACAGGCCCGCGGGGGTGGGATGCCGGCCAGGCGGCACAGGGAGCTCTGCTGGGGCCTGACGGGGATCTCAGGGCAGCCGTGGCCCTCGGAAGTCTAGGTCTGGAGGGTGAGAGGCAGAGGGCCCAGAACAGGGCCTGGGCGTTGGAAGGGGACACAGGTGACTCCGTTCACTGTGCATCCACCAAGTGCCAGGCTCTTTGCAGCTGCTCGGCAAACGGCGCCCTGCTCGCCTGGCCTCATACCCTGCACACCCCAGGAGCCAGCACCGTCCCTGTTGTGCACCAGAAGGGAGGTGGCATTCGTGCAGAA